TTTCCCCACGCACCTATCGATTACCTACAGGTGTGCGAGGGTAATTATTGATTGATAACAAGGAGGGAATTAAATTCATTTCCAACTAGTAAATAACATAGTTTAATATTATAGTTATAATATACGCAAAACGAAAAACAAACTGCTTACTTATGGATTCAGTCAGGTTTGGTGAATAGCAATTGCGAGGGCAAACATTTATAGTCTGTCAGTATAATAACAAAGGCATGAGGTGGTCTTGTTTTTTTTGGGGGGGATGGGGGGGGTGTCTGCAGATTGTGTTTAAAAACTGTAAAACATAGCAAAGTAAATTAAACCTGCTAATAATAAACCGACAACATGAACACTTTTTGCACTTCTGTAAAAATGTTTATTAACAGATCCACAATTCATAAAAAAAGAAACTGTAAAAAAAATAATAATAATAATTTAATTTGCTCAGCTAGGCGCTGTTGATAGGCAGAACATAATCGAGCTAAGGCAGGTATTGCAGTGTAATCATTGTGCAGTGGTTTTCTCTAAGGCAAACAAAATCAAAAAGCAAACACTGTCTTCCATGATTTTTTTTTTTATATGAAAACATAAGCATTTTATTCCCTGTGATAGTCCATTGCTTTGTTCCGTTCACCCGTCCTTTATTTTTCAAGTACACTGAGACTGCAATGAGTCAGACAGCCGGTTTAAGGCAGCGCAGTTATTGGACTCAGTTTGAACTGGTGAACCGATGGTTGGATGGGCATTGGTGTTAGGAAGGAGGTAGGGAAGGTGAAAACCGAGGACTCGAAGTTCTCCGTTTCGAGTGTGAAGTCGCCACTAAAGAAGGTGGGTGTCTCCTGAGCGGCAGGAGTGACGGACGGAGGCGCGGAAGAAACCACTTCCGACTCGAACTGCAGTAGTTGACCCATGAAGCTAAAATTGGGCGAGACGATGGCACGCCGCTGTCGGATGACCTCAAAGGCCTGCTCCAAGCGCAACCGTTGGGTTTTCATGATGTACGCCATGCAGATTGTGGGAGAACGAGAGATTCCAGCCTCGCAGTGGACCAGCACTTTACCTCCCTCTTCTTTCACACGTTCTGTGGAGAGAAAAGAACATGAATTCATTACAAAAGCACTTGAATTAACAGCACGAGTCACCAAAAATACAGACCATCTTTTAAGTCAAACTTCAAGCCAGACTTTATTTGTAAAGCACATTTAAAAACAACAGAAGTGTCCTGTGCACTTTTAAACTTATGGAAAATAAAGAAAAAATAATAAAAGGTGAAGTAGCAGCACCAGACAAAATAACAATGACTGTTTTCAAACAAGTTTCCCCAAACACGCCCCTCATCTGCCATTGGCCAGTCAAACAAATAGCCCCGCCCCAAATTTACACCATTGGTTGAGTCAGCGTTGCTATGCTGGACTGGACTTGACTCTTCAAACAAACAAAGCAATGTTTTGAAAACACCACAGAGACAAAATGTTCACACTTTTGAGGGAAATCAATCTTCACTGAAAAAAAAATTGGTGCAGGATTTACCTTGAAACAATTGCCACACAGAAATTGTTAGCAAATTTAAAAAAAACCTACAAAGAAACTGCAAGTAACACCAAATTAAATGTGAAATTTTGAAATAGAAAGACTGAAATTGTATTTTCTTGTACTCCAGTTTTATTTACAACTCACAAAATATTTTTTTTACAATGTATGAATGGCTTACTTATAGTTTGAGCACATTCATTTTGGTATGTAAAATATGTTTACATAACATTACAATGTGTAAATGCCATTAAATGGTGTTGTGTTATAGAGTTGTGAGAGGGAACGAGTGAAACACAATCATGGTTATTTTTCAGTTCTTCTGATATCCTCTGTCCATTATCGCTCGGCTAATTCATTTCCTCCCTGACCCTTTTTTATCGTAATGTCATATCAATTTCATTTCCACCCCAGAAAGCTCTGACGCACAAATCCATAAGTTCACACCATTATGGAAAGCTCTTATTGTGTATTCCTGTCTAATTTAATACAGCTAAGCCGATTCCAGCCTCATTTCTCTCAACCACGCACACACCAAGAAGTGAAGCGCGTGTTCATGCGAGATCCCTCGCTGCTGGTCTCTTTAAAACAAAACCTGCTGGTGTGAATCACGCCTGAAGCCCATCTGGAGCAGAGCGGTGCCGAGCTGTGGGCGTCATAATGACTATCACACTCCCTAATGCGCCTAAATATTACCACACACTCATTAGCCGAAGCTTTCGATGGATTATTCTTTCACTTCACTGCTATCGCTTTCCTGCGGGAGACCAAATCACCTCACGGTCTCTTACGTAATGCTGTCTATATTCAGACAAATGTAAATGAAACTTGAGTATATTCGAATGAAATGTGGGATTTGCGAGTCAATGTCTTTGAATGACAGGATGACATGGTTAAAGCCTCACTAGAGGAACTGAAATATGAATACAGGTCAAGCTGGGAGTTTTGGTCATATGTGAAGTCTATGTAAACAACGTCTACACTCTTAAAACAAAGGCTTTTTTTATGCAGTGATGTCATAGAAGCAGTATTTTTGGTTCACCAAAGAACCTTTCAGTTTCAGGACAAGCTTCCTGCAAATCACCCATAAATAGCCTTAAACACTCTCAGATCATTGTGTAAACATATTCACCTGATAAGGAAGCCGTGAACAACCTACAAAACGCATGCCAGTCCATTCTTAGCACACAAACACACCTAACGCCACTAATCATCGACTCATCCACTGACACACTGGCCACTCCTATGATCTTGGATTAGTCTACCTGTGACTCACAGCGGCATGTCCGTTTATCTTTCTTTATCTTTATGTTTAATCTTTTTTTTTTTTCAGTAGGAGTTGGTATTAACTGCATTTCCGAGAATACAAGTAACATGGGATTTGTAGGTGTAAATAAAGTTGCAGTCCAGTCGGATTATGGAAATTATGCGTTAGTAAAGCAGAGGAAGTCTTATTTTTACACGACCTGAAATAAGCTCCACTATCTATAGGTCTGTGCTCAGTTCTGGGAATGGTTTTAGCCATACGGGTGAAGTTTACATAACACTAAAGATGTTGTCATTTAAAACTTCTTATTCTTATTAATAACCCACTGAAGCAAGTGATAATATCATATCAGTTTTAACCACATCCGAATGTGAGACTATGAAGACTGGAAAACTGTGTACACTCTAAAAAATGCTGGGTTAAAAAGGGACAAACCCAGCTATTGGGTTGTTTTGAACCCAACCGCTGGGTCAAAACAACCCAATAGCTGGGTTTGTCCCTTTTTAACCCAGCGCTGGGTTATATTTAACCCAGCATTTTTTAGAGTGTATGCTCAGACCACTAAACTAAAAAAATAATAACTTAAATCATTAAAAACAGCTTTAAATAAAAAAATAATAATTAAAAAACAAATGATATATAACACATAATTAAATAATTAAATGTAAAATTTTAAAAATAAAAATAAAATAAAAATTATATTGCATAATTAAATTACAAAATTAAACATTAAATAAAATAATTAATTACAAAATAAAATGAAAAATAAAAAAGGAATCAAAATTATTAAATAATTTAAAAATAATTAATACACACACACACACAACTATAGTATATATACACTATTTACCAATAAAATCTATGGCCTCCTGGAAGTGTGAGCTGATATCTGCCGTGTGACTGTCCTCCACCGGGATCCATTTGTAGTCATACAGTCCTTTGGCAGGCCGCGAGTCCCTGCGTGAGACGTTCAGCAGCGCTGTAATGCAGAGGTCACTGAGATAGTCCTGTCTACAGGCGTGATAGGCACTGCCCAGGTATAGAAAAGGCAAGATCTCCACCGGCCGTCCCTGAAAAATAACAACAATAAACAGATATCAAAACTGAAACTCTCAAAACAGATTCACCACCTAGAGACAAACAGGTGCACCGTTTGACCTTATCATAAAAACTGAACAGCAGACTAAAGGTCAGACATAAAAGGACCTCAGATGTCCGTTGGATGTCTTTGAAGGATCGTAAGGGGGCTCTTTGGTTTGGGTAGATGGATGGTTGGGTTACATACATACATATATGGAGTAGAATCTTTAACCACATAGTTTTCTGTGTTTTTGGACTCATATTAGAGGGGGAGTTGTTGCAGAAACTCCAACAGTTAGAGGAAGTGGTTTCGGTGGAAGTGGGTTAAAATGAGGAAACAACAGCTCGCTTTCTTCTCTCTTACCTGATCATAGTCTGGTTTGTGGCGAGAACCCAGTTTGTCACAGTGACTGCTGACGCCTCTTTCACTTTTGTCTTCACTCAGATCCACAGACTTGGTTTCAGTGCAAAGCTCGGGGTAATGGGACTGGAAGTTCTGGTAGCCTCCTGGAATGAGAAATGCGCCGTTATTATGAGTTGTCAAGGATTGTTGAGTCGTTCACCTTATAAAGAGCTTCACGTGCGGCAGTTTGAGCTGATCAGAGTGTGAGAGGCGAAAAGAGAATCCCACCAACAGAGGGAGAGTGTACATGAGATCAAGGGCTTGACTTGCATTCAGCAAAATCTCCTAGTTTCAACATGTCTTTTTAACAAGTTGAACAAATTAATCTAAAAATCCCTGTACATTTGAATGCAATGTTATCATTGAAAGGAGTAAAATATGATATAGGCTATAGCTATAAATATCACTGTGCTGTTTCTCATACTTCCCTCTCTGACTCATCCGTCCTTTGATGCACAAAGAGAATTTATCTCTTGAAAACCAGACAAAAACCTAAGCTATTAATTCAACATTTTAGTTCACGTTTATTATATTATTTTATCATTTTATTGTAATAAAATCTATTATGTTGTAAAAATGTGTATAATTTTTTTAAATACATTTGTGTAATTCTGTTTTTATTTTTTAAACATAAATAGTCTAAATAGTTTAATTTTTATTATTTTTAATTAACTTAATCTTACATTTTAATTAATATATATATATATATATATACACACATACACACACACACATATAT